ACGTTCTGTGATCCTGTGATCCATACAACAATTTTATAGAACTCTAGTGAACTTGTTTTGGTGCTGACTGGCTTATTATTCCATTTCTTACACTTAAGAGATTGCTGGTTTAGTCGCAAGTCCTATCTAGCACAAGCTTATATACATATTTACATAAAACCCAATACTCCACAAGAGCGTGCCTGAATCTGTTGACCTTCAAGTGACAAAGTGACAAGACCCTTGGGTTCCTCCAGCTTCTCCACTGCTGTATTGTGAACTCAGTGACAGTGCCGCTTTGAGCACCAACTTGGTCCAGAGCACTCCAGGGGTCCATCTGGTCTACATTTTTTTTTTCATGCTCTGATATCAAACCCCCAAAACAGCAGAAAAGGGGTTGAAAAGGGGCAGGTCGACTCTCTCCTGCACTCCCCTAGCACTAGGACTACGTAACACTGCTTGCTGTTTCACATGCCTTCTCCACAGTCAAAAGCTACTAGGTATTTTCTCTCTCATGAAACAGTCTTTCACCTGCCTACTAACTCAGTCCCAAGGAATCTCTTAGCAAGAGCTAACTCTCTGTGGCTCTTGTTTGTGAAAGCTGTTTGGAACTCATGGAAATGATCAAAAAGCAGAACAGTTCTTTTAATTAAAAAAAAAAAAAAAATCATGAGGTCTGCAAAAGGCAAAAAAGCAGAAAGCAAATCTTTACTGCAGAGTGATTCATTATTTGCAACATGAAAGCTTAAATTAAATGCACTTGACTTGAGAAATATGAATTTTTAAAATACCAAGCAGTTTTTAGGTAAATACATCAAGTTCAAGAATAAATGTACAACAAGGAGAAAACCAGCATACCTCTTTCTTCAGAGCAGCTCCTCCAAGCGCTGGCACACTGGGATGATTTTACTCAAAAGAGCATTGAACACACCTTGTGGTTTCCATCAAATGTGAGACACTGAGATAGTCGTTTTTTTCTGCCTCTGGCAAATGTACAGATTATTAAACTAACCTGGGCTTTTCATTTCAGCTAAATCTGCTCCTTTGCACTTCAAGAGGCATTTCTGTGTTAAGAGGAAATCCGTGTTGTTTGCTGTGCTTTTCAGTTCCTTTACTCCTCCATCTATAAGAAAACGATGCCATCGTCCTCCTTTATGTGGTGCCAGACATCCATTGACACCGGAGACATTTCACAAAAATGTCTTGTAAGGAGTCATTTTATCTGCTTCCATAAACTGCCACTTGCTTGCTAGCCAGAACGAAGGATAAAAACCATCTTGCTGAACCTGCTTTAGTCACAGCGCTGAGAAAACAATAAAAGTAATGTATGTGTCCTCACTATTGGCAATGCAGAGCGCCCGGCTTGCTAGCGGCTAAACAATTTTTATAATCCTTATAATCACTGTGGATTACAAATGCTTTTTTTTTTTTTTTTTTTTTCCCTTTTTCTCTTCTTTTTTAATGCTGCAAGTGCCCGATAAAACACTGGCCTCTCTGGTTTTCTAAAAATATCTCAGCGCCAAGCTGGTCGGCAGAGATTGAGATAGCGATGCTCTTCCAAGGTCACCCACAAGACTGGCGCTGGCCGTGGCCTCAGCACCCGCTTTTAAGCTTGGCCCAGCAGGGCTGGAACAAGGTTCAGCATCCAGAGGCGCCAGTAGCTTTCAGGCACCCTCAATTATCATCTTGGAACAGTACAAACTCCTTCTTTTGTCTTGCTCAGCACCTCGAAGGAAAGGGAAGAATTTTTGTAACTGAACACACAATTCTCCATTTGTGGACTGCTTTGTGTAAAACCACATTTTCCATCTCTCTGTTCTGGTTTCTTGTCTAGACACCCGTGCTCTCAATTAATGAAGAGACACTGAGAAATGGAGTATTCTAGTTGTGGTCTTCTCACTGATGCGATGTGGACAACCAATTAAGATGTTATAGATGGAGATGCAAGAACAAGCAAGAAGCATTACGCAAACCTCCACCCTCCCAAGAAAGAAGTTAATATCAGAGTGGTGATGAATAAATTTGGAAGAAAGTAAGGTAATGCTCCAGGACAGCAAGTCACATACCTTTACTAATTATACATAGTATGATCATGTGCAACCCTTGCCAAAAGCTACAGCTACATCAATCAAAATTCAATTTTACCCATCTGTTAGGTAACTCTGATGAGGATTTACCACTGTAGACTTGACTTGGTTTCTTTTTGCCTTGGCTCCTCCAGTCACTATGATCTGAATCCCTTTTTTACTGACAGATTGGCTAATGTCAGGCTAATGTTAGCTGTAATATTTAAATATGTTGTCTTGTGAAGAAGTCTGTGTGCAAAGCAATTCAATGAAAGCAGATTTCTTGATTTTTTTTCCATCATTTTGTCAAATGCCCCAGATCATTAACACCTATTCCAGCTGTAAAGGCAACTGAACCTATACTGCGCCCCTTCCACCTTCTCCCTATTGCAATTAAGAAAGATTAGACAGTATTAAATATCCTAATCCTAAAGGCATTGGCTTAGACCTAAATCTCGTTTTATATCTGATATACCCAAATCTCAAGGGGATACAAGAAATGGTTTCTAATACCCATAGATTCCTCCTCCTGAGGAGATAGTGACTGAAGATAATGATTACTCAAAATAATATTATTCCAAAGGAGATAAAAGCAAAACATATGCCCATACCACTCACTTCACCTTTCTGTGAGGCAGTTCATTGTGCATATTTTTATAACATAACCACGTACATGTGACAATCCTACTACCATAAAGAAATTATAAGTCTAATGTTTCAGGACATTAAATGAGAAAAGAGTAAACTGTGCTGCTGAAATTAGATGTAAAGAAACTCTAATTACTAATAACCTTTCAATTCTGCAGATAACTAGGACCATCAAGCTTAGAATATGTGCAGACAGCTAAATCAACCGCATGTCTGGCCTCATGCCCATGTACTTCCCAAAAATTTTAATGAAAGAAGTCATCACTTGTGTTAGGGCACATAAAATCTAAAGTTAACATCAGCCTTAGGAGAAGTTGGCCACCTCTTCAAATCTTTTTTTTTTTTCTTCTGAGAGAAAACTAGAACTTGAAAGTCAAAGGGAAATGTTAAATCTCATTTCCTTTACCAAACTGTTTTATTACCACACTTAGACTCTCTAAAGCGAGTTGGGCTTCTCTGATTTCATAACAAATGCCAGCAACTTCCCATCTAGTGGTAGTGCCTATTTTATTTTAAATGAGACTGGACTATTCAAAACAGCTCATCCCACTGTGCCATAAAACTTCCCAATAAATATCACTAGCTATAAAACGCTGATTAGTTGTTCCGCATTGTGAAATAAAACCCCATAAAGCCTGCAGATCCCCACCCTGCACATTTACATAGCACTTACAGAAAAATGAGCCCAATATACAACCTCAGAGCAGTTTTTTATTGTTGTCTTATTGCCACATTGACGACTCCAGAAAATTTCTTTAACAATCATTTCATGGCAACCTCTGAACATCTGCTATGCTGGTATGTTATTGTAACATATTTCATATCAAAAATGTATTGATAATCATCAGTAGACAATCCAGGTCACCAGTTAACAATTCTTTATTTCAGCAAAAGTAAGGCTTTGGTTAGGACACTTATGCATAAACACGGCTACCTTCCAACAATATATATGGTATACTTTCACACAGAAACTTTTTCTAACCTTGCAGAAATTCCTGCACTCTAAAAGCCACTAAAGATATTTTGAGAGTCATATCTCATTGCAAAAACACATCCATCTGAGTAATCAAAGAAAAAAAATCAGATAGCTTCTCTCTCTATATATATAGTATATATAGAATTAACGCCCAAAGCATCTATGCCACTAACTTTTAATACTCAAATTGAAATACGGTGCTGCTTCTCGAGACAGTTGAGATGGATCCAGCCCATGTTGCTCTGTGCATCTGCACAGAGGCAGGTGCGTCGTGTCCCGCTTTGGTCACTTTGGGACACTTCGGTCACGTTGGTTACACCCAGAGGGATGGATGGAGCTCATCCTGCAGGGGATGTTTTGGTCATGGTGGTTACACCCAGAGAGATGGAGGGAGCTTGTCCTGCGGGGGACGCGTTGCTCTGGTCATGGTGGCTACACGCAGGGCCTACGCAGGCCGCATCCTCACAGGCTTCGGCGCGGGCAGCAGCTCCGCCGCGTGGGGGACAACGCTCCCTCATTAAGGCAAGCACAGCCGAAAGAAGGGCTGCAGGATACATGGATGTGTGTGTAGGAGGAGGAATTCCCTCCTCTGTGGAGCGGCCTTCCCGTTTCGAGCCTATTCAGAGACGCACAGGCCCGTCCCACTGCACCTACAGGACGTTGTTGGTTGCTCCCCTCATGAAACAGGACATATTTCCTACCACTTTTTTTCCTTAAGCAGCATGGGAAAATGAATTAATCTGCAATTGTTTCAGAAATTCGTATTTTTTGAACTCGCCTCACTGTTCTTCCATGCTATTTGATTTTAAACATAAATGAGCCCCAAGTGACCCCCGAACTTCCACTAATTTGCCAGATGACTGGCTGCAGCACTACCCATGTACCCACCTTTTGAGAAGCTACTAAATTTTTATAAACCTAGGGGGTACAAAAGCCTGTAGTGTATTTTTACTCAGTTAAAAAGAGAAGTACACTTACAAATGTAGGTTAAAGGTGCAAAAAATTATTTGCACGAGCTTTATAGAGATGAGTTGTGGAAGGAAGATGATGCAGCTAAGCAATTTTGAACATTGCAATCAAACAGATCTAATTACATGGTAAAACCTAATGAGATGGCTCTGTTTTTAAGGTAACTTTTTATATTTCACTTCTATTGTTACTTTCCTTATTCAGAATAAAAAGTCTAGGAAAAACATATGGCGCACAACAGAGTTTGTTTCATAAAGTCAAACACATTTACTAGTGATAGCTCTTATTTTTCAACAATAACCTCAAACGGGAAGCTTAACAAAAAAAAAAAAAAAAAAAAAAAAGAAAACAGATTTTTCTCCAGGTTATTTTTAAGTTTAATTCTGCAAGGTCCCAAACTCTTTCAGCTTGCTATTGCAATTGAGAAATGATCACCTCATAAAAATAGAGCCCCTAGTGAGACAAATGAGATCACAAATGTGTTGCAGACAGCAGAAGTGTTTCTGAAATTCTGATTTCTCACCCCGTTCGTACCCAGAGAGCTCCATATGTGCAAAGCCTGCATGGAAGTACTTCAACAAGATTGGGTGAGTGCAGTGGAGTACAAGGAAAATTCAGCTGAATTTGTGCCCCCTTGAGAATATATCTGGACCCTGTTCTCATCTTATTAGTTGAAACTGGATGCAACTGCTGCTGAGGTATCATTTCTTAGGATACTAAAGACCTCAAGGGGCCTCAAGGCAACCACCAATTTCTGTATCAAATATACAAGCTTTCTCCAGAACGTAAAAGCACCAGCACCAATGGGTTCCTCATTCTTACTGTTTTAGCATAAAAAACCTGCATTAACTATGTATGTGCTACTGTGATGCCAGAGCTAAAAGTACAATTTCTTTAAATCATTAATCATATTACTCATTTTGAATTTTTGCCTTTGTAGTAAGAGAGTCTCACAGAAAAGCAAACTGGAGAAGCTGAATAACACCCCTGATCAGCAAATACGTAACAGAGAAGGGGGAAAATTTCCACCTGGGATAACAACCGATCAATGTCTCCATTCTTATTAACCTTTGAGAATGAAACATACATAGAGAAAAGAAGCAACACATTATTTTAGAGACCAATTTTGCTGATTTGGTAGCATGAATGCTAATGGGATTAGCATTCCTCTCTTGGAAGCGGATTCGTTGATGGCATTTGGGCTGGGACTTTTGATGGAGAGCTCACTTGCGAGGCTGGTGGATGTGCTGCTTGACATGCTGCGGATGAGGGAGCTTCTCCACAGAAGGATGGGGTTTCTGGTGAGCTACCTGAGCTGCAGCTGGAGGGAAGTCCTTATCTCCCTGTTTGAAGAACAAACGAGGAAAAAGCAAAGAAAATTTATAAGCACATTTTATAGGTCAAGTGAACATATTTTTACACAAATGTAAAAAGCAGATGAAAAGAGTGTGTTGCATGTTCCTCCAAAATCACCCTGCATGCCTTCTGTCTTGCCAATGTTTTAACCAACTTCAAAATAACACTGAAATAAACCTCACTTCTTCCTATTATCCATCACATCTTAGAACACAGTATCTTAAAGTGACCAGGGACAAAAATTATGATCCTGCCTTTAGGTCTCATAGCTTCCCGTGCTAACTCACTTTTACAACTATGGGACACGTTTGCTTTTCACAAAGCAGTAAGAAATGGGAGAAAAATAAGGAAAGGCAATGTGAAAAAATACCTGCACAAGAAAGCCAGCTGCGGGAATACTAGTTCTGCAAGAAGAAAGTCATGATCTAGCTCCACTTTCAATTTAAATTTTACAGCTAGATGGCTTATAAGTTTAACACCTGCTTTTAACAGGATCTGCCAGCGTTATTTCTCTCTTGTTACTGTTCTACAGTACCAGCCGGTGTGTAACATTTATGTCACCTACTGAGAACTACCCTTTCCCAGGTGAGTCCCACGGGGTTTTCAGCGGGAATGCATAATCCTAGAGCAAGTGACAGCAGCACACTTGCATGTAATGGGGAAAAAATATTAGCAGTGCTCAGCATCATGACTCCCCTGCTTAAAACTAGGGACAAAAACATCAAAAACCAGGACCATGCTCTATTTCTCGAGTTCACAGGCGGACAGCATTGCACAAAGATGTGCTGTGCAAAGCAGATGCCTTGTCTTACCTCTGTCCCATTTGCACCTACTCCTAATTCTACTTCCTTTCTAATGTGACTTTTTTTCCCTTGATCACTAGGTTAATCTTGTACATTTTTTCTTCCATCTTGGTCTCTGCTCCAGGTTGCTTCCTCTTTCTTTGTTTTTTTGCTTAAATTTGACATTTACTATCTCCTTTCCCCTCTTTGTGGTTGTTTGCCCTTTCCGACTTCTCTGACCTGTGGCATCCTGCTTTCTCAGAAGGGGGATGTGAATGCAGCTCTTTTATGACTTGCTGAGGCTTTAGCAATTGACAGGGTCAGTCTACATTAGCCAGAAACGTCCATCTTAGAATCCCAAAATCACAGAATAATTCAGGTTGGGAGGGACCTCAGGATGTCTCTAGTCCCACCCCCTGCTCCAAGCAAGGTCAGCTATGAGGTCAGAGCACGTTACTCGGGGTTTTATCCACTCTGGTCCTGCAAACCTCCGTGCACAGGGACAGAACGGCCTCTTGAGCCAACCTGCTTCATTCCCTGGCTGTCCTCACCGTGGGAAGTCCTCCTACATCCAGTCGGACATCCCCCTGTCAGTCAGCACCCGTAGGTGGGACAGGAGGCTCTCAGGTCCTCCTGAAGCCATCCCTTCCCTGCGCTCAACACATCCTGGCCCCCTCGGCCTCTCCTCACAGGGCAGGTGCTGCAGCCCCACCACCCTGGGCCCGTCCAGGGAACTCACCCCAGCTTCTCAACAGCCTTCACATAACCAGAGCGAGGGAGGCCAAAGGTGGGCTCGTGTGGCCTGATGAGCACTCAGCAGAGCCCAACCACTTCCCTTGATCTACCAGTGGGTTTCCTGTTGATGCAGCCTGGGTGTTAGATGCCTGATAGGCCTCCACCTTGGTACAGACAAAGGTCAAGGATTCACCCTAGCTTCACAGTGACACCAGTGCATGCCTGTACGCTGTCTTTACCACCTATGTGATGGGACATGGTCACCACATGACACGGTGGTGATAACCACCACAGAAGGGTGACACAGAGACATCACCGTGTGCCACAATGCATAGGGCATGTATTCGTGCTCACACAATTAATGACTAGCTAATACTGATTTCCTAGCTTATGGATTTCCAGGCCTTGCTAGCTGTTAAAATTCAGGGAATGACTCCTAAAAATCCAACTATCTAATGGCACATATGGTACCTCACTGTCTTCAAACATGCATCACTGCAAGCCATGCTCCTCTTCACAGACCAAGCTAGAGCAGCAGACTTGCATGTAATTGCTTTCAAAGAAAATGAATGTAGTAATATCAAGCTTAGATAGGGAAAGAAGATCCAATAATCCTTAAGTGCTTAAATTCAAAGTAAAACAATAAAAGCCATTTCAATAAATAATTTCAATTTCACACCAAACCAAAAAGAATGTTCAGAGATTTAGATAAATATACAAAACATAAAGCACTTTCTCATAAAAGAGGAAGCAGAATGAAGAAGATTAATCTCGCTCTCATCAGTGATAATTTTGAAAGGCCTACAATCACTTTTCTGTGTCTGAAAGAAATTTAATAATAAACTTACCCTGGCAATGACTCCAGAGATGAACACTGCTGGTTTAGGTGGGCTGAAAAACGAAGGATTATTTTAGTTTTATGAGTTGCTCAGAAGGTAAAAATCCGCAACAGAACACATATGCAATGAAAGAGGTGTCATCCTTCCCAATCAATGAGTGTTTCAAGTAGACAAGACAATTTCTCTTCAAATTTCTCTACTTATACATCAGCCACGTACACTCATACAGACCTGTGGGTTTTGGCTGCTCCAGGTTAACTGACAGGAAGGCCAGGCCAACCATACTGTGTTCTTTACATAGAGCTGAAAGTCACTTTGTTTGCATTGTCTTCCTAATCCTCAAATTACATATGGAAGTTGCCAGCAGTATTTTAGGCTTATTATTCTGAGAGATGATGGAAACAGTAGATGGACTAAACTTATGGCGGTGATGGAGAATAACGTAAAAGCCAAGTTTATTTCTGCCAGTCAAGTGGATTAAGACTCTGAGTCTCAGAAAAACACACAACCAATACCTTAATCATGGATTTTCAAGCAGATATTTACCTACTGCAGCACACAGGAGAATCCTGTCTGCAATAAAACAAACAGTAAAAACCACAGAGCAAACTTTGCCCTTGTTTTTCATGGGTCAGCTTCCATTTACACTAATAGGAACAGTCCCAAGGACAGAAACTCTGGAACCTGGTCAATAGAAGGGATCAAATTCCCAGGGCCACTTGGCCACTAAGCTGGCAACCCCTGCATGGAGGTCGGCTCCTCTAAACACTCAGCAACTGGCTCTCTGGACACGTATCACCACCTACAACGTCTGCAGCAAGGTCAAGACTAGCAGTTCCCCCAAACCTTGGCAAAAGATGCACATCTCCCTAAAAACAGGCAGCCCGAGACACTGAAATGGGGAGGGAGAGGGTGGAGGTTAAGTCCTACTCCCTCTGAGCCCCCCACAACCAGGGACTCGCAGCAAGGGCTTCATTAACAAGGCCCCTGAGGAGGTGCCCAAACCTGAGCGTGTCCCATCTGACAAGGCGGGAGCAACAGAAACCAAATTATTAGGGAATGCTGTTTATTAGGGGAATGCTACTCATTACCGTGACACACTTCCCAGCTGCACAGCCCGTAAAGGTGTATTAGCACGATGGTAGGTGACGTGAAGGTGACAGCACACCATCAGATGGTGAGCCTATTCTGCACAAACATTACCTGAGCCCTGCTTCAACAAGAATCATCAGCATCCCTTCCAGGAATTCTTAAAAGACCAGGGAGGCAGGATTAAGAGTGCTTACAGAGAGAGAGAGAAAGACGTTCTGCTTTAAGAGGCTTCCATTTAAAAGTAGCAGCAATATTTGCTATGTGTCATGTCAAAGAGATTTTTGACAGCTACATTAGCAATTCTTCAATCCCATTTTCTGCTAGTATAAACTAATCGTAAGCAAAGATCAGTACTCAAATACTTTCATTTCACCCTAATCATAGTGAGGCTATCAGCATGTTACAGTCTAAAGAAAGTCTAAGAGTCTAAAGTCTAACAGAACACACAAGCACCGCAGGTTGAAGGTCCTGATTGTAAAGTTATTAGTAGAACATTATAAAGAGAATGAGCAATAAATGGAGAAATAAAATGTGTGGCAATTATTCTTCAATTACGCATGGAACCTGGCTTCAATCACACTCAGAGAAACAGCTATTTTTTGTAATGTCAACAGCTATTGACATTACATTATTAACATTTTTTTTTTCCTCTCCTCTTAACATGACCTTTTGGTGTTCACTATGCTCGGATGATGCATGGAATTCCTAACAATATTTCCTGAAAAGAACCTATATTTGGTGGATGTGGTATAGGCTGCTTGCTTACCACCCTACTGTGCAATTAATTCAATGCCCCCGCTAGGTTCTCAAAGCCCGGGCTCCTGTGGAGCCGGAGCAGCTCCCAGGAACAGGGTTTCGTAACCAGACTCCAAGACATCCCATGTGATCGGACTATTCCAGCACCACTCACTCGCTGTCTGAAAAAGCCACCAAAACCAGAAACAAAATGGGAAAATATGTGCAAGCTGCTACCATTTGCAAAACAATTTCGAGTGCTTTAAACTCGATTGGTGGTTTATGCAATGCACAACCTACATTTCCAGTATTTTGCAAGCTGCGACGGTGGCTTTGAGGATATACTTAATCTGATGAAAATCAGTTTGACAGATGTTGTTTTGAAGATTCAGCACTCCTTTGTCTAAGAATCAGGGAACAAAGCAAAAAAAAAAGGTCCTGTCTGACTAAAAGGGAACTCTTGTATACATATATGGACCTTCACAGCCGTCTAATGGGCACATTTATTTAAAGTTAAATAACAGCCACAGCTGGTTTTGTGTTAGGAATATATGGGCATATTTGCCGAGCCTGTTTTGGGTGTGTTTCAGTACCATCAGAACGAACATGTAACACAAGTAATGGCAGCTACCTTTAAAAAAAACATAAAATTAAATGCAGAACTCCCTGAAAATAACACAGTGCTAAGATCAAGAGCTTTGCAAGATTCAAGAACAGAATTAGACATTTATATGAGTTAAACACGTTCGCATTGGTTAGGATAAAAATGAGTAAAAGTTACACAAACCCTGATGCTCCGGGGCTCCAGTTAATTTTAAACTGATATGGACTACAAAGAAATTTCCTCTGGGCAAATGCTCAACTTTGATATGTCATTATCCTTTCTGCCTTCAATTAAACATCACAAGAGATTATTTTCCTATTACATCTGATTGATCCAGAATTCATATAAGCAGTGTAAGTCAGGGCAGCAGCCCTGAGATGCCCAATAGGCCAGCATTTAAACTGGTTAGCCTGGTTAACACAGGCCAGAACCCCCACAGAGGCAAGTCTCTTGCTAGGCTGCAAGATTCTTAGTCAAGAGACATACAAAAATGGCAAAAACTTTAAAACTACACTAGTTTTCTGCATGTGAGTAATTAAATGTTTGTGTTTTCATACAGATGAGAGTTACCTGTGTGCCTTGTTAGGGGGACAGTCTTCCACTGTCATAGGCTGTCCAGGGAGGCTGTGGAGTCTCCTCCTCTGGAGATCTTCCAAACCCGCCTGGATGCCGCCCTGTGCCCCGTGCTCTGGGTGTCCCTGCTGGAGCAGGGGGTTGGACTAGATGATCCATAGAGGTCGCTTCCAACCTCAACCATTCTGGGACTCTGTGACCTGTATCTCATGAACAGAGACCTGCAGCTGGACAAATCCCCGCCAAGGGGCTGTGAACTGAAGAGGCACCTAAACACGGGCTGACCTGCACGCTGCCCCCCAGCACCCCAACACAGCAAAAGTGTGCAGGACCTTCCCCAGCAGCCTGCCTCTCCCTGCCCTGATCCTCTTCCAAGGAAAAGGTACCATTTACTCTGGCACTAACAACCTGCCTAGCAAAACAAAGCGAAAATCACAGGTTTAAAAGCCTGCAGTTACCCCGTGATGCCCCAACTCCTCCCCAGTCAAAGCAGGCTGAAGTTGGGCCATTTGACTTTTGATTAGAATATGCCCTGCAATAATATTTGGTAGATGAATAGAAAGTTCTCCAGATGCTCTAAGTACAAGTTCATCTTCAACCAAAAAAAAAAAAAAAAAAAAAAAAAAAAAAGACTTTAATCCTACCCTTATCTTTCTGGAATTAAAAAGTATTCTGGTGAGTTGTTCAAGCCATCTAGCTTAATCTCCAAGGTTGCCTGGGAATTCATATTTTCTGGTATAAAACACGCGAGTTAACTATTCTTAGTTCCAGTGCAGTGCCTCTTTAAAGATGTCCACATACAACTTTATGGGGGTCCTTATTTGCATTTTCTTGCTTGCCTTTGACTTTGGCATTGTCTGTGAAAATAAATTGCAAGATGATTAAAAACACACTGGGATGATTAAAAACCCATTTCTCAGCAATCGGGTAAGAATAACAGGCACGCTGCTCATCAGCTGCCCTGCAATGCTTTCCAGTTGGTTATAATGCATTTCGGTTATTAATTTTCTGAGCAGAAAAGTAATAATGAGCCCGGCTGACTACCAGAGGGAAATATTCCAGTTGATTGCGCAGGGCCATACAATATCTGATAGTCTGTGATAATTTATCCTTTTGCAGGCATTTATCCACCTGCCACGGCCAGGCTTTCCAGCCGCCGCAGCCACCCACAGGATGGCACTGTTGAACCTCGGAGTCGCGGATGGTCACTAGGGCTGCTGGGGCAAGGCTCAGGTGTCTGTACTTCCCTCTGATGCAAAATCCCGATGAAACGCTCTATACATCACAGATAAATTCATACGCCTGTCGACGGTCGCTATTTTGGGAAAACCATTTTCTCGTCCCCGTGTCTCCGCCTGCATTCCAATAAATCCCACGAGGTGGCTTCCACGCTGCTCCTCCTCCTCGGCAGGCAAAATTAATGACATTTCACGAGTCTTAAGGAAGAACTTAATGCCCTATCAGGGCATTTTAATGACTATTTGTTTTCTTATTCGCATACAAGCAAATTGAGTGTTTTAATCTTTTAATGAGATGGTAAATCACTGCCCATTACATTTAATCACAACTGATACTCATTGTTCCTACACTCGCTGTCAACTTACTGCAGCTTATGGCCTTATCAGCCTCACTAGCCTCTCATTCATCTTTGTTTCTCGTGCGTGTATTAGCCATAAAAGAGATTTCTTTAAGAAAGATATTCACTATCTTGTCCTTACATTGTTGTATGTGACATTGGTACCAGATGGTAAATATATTTTCTTCTTCCTTCCTCTTCTTCATTTCTTCTTCTCATCACAAAATTAAGATTTAGGTATTTCACCTTTTCCACGGACTTGGCAGATTTCTAAGTGATCCCTAATTCTCCCGCTGCTGGTTCATCAATAAGGTTCAACTCTGTCACACCAGCATCTCCACAGCTCCCAGGGACACCAGTGACAAACTCTGCACGCTGCTACAGCCACTTAGCTGTGGAAAAACGACAGCCGTGAAAATTGACTTTAAGCAAGTTCTATTGAAATGGCGACTGAGCTCAAAAGGAAGCTCTA